AGGTTTTATTACTGCAACTTTAAATGATTGTGGAACATAGCCTGATAATAAAGACATATTCTTAATATTTAATAAAGAAGTGCTAATTAATGGAAAAACTTCCTTTAACAGCTTAGTTGGAATCGGGTCTAAGATACACGTTGATGGTTTAGAAGAAAGAATCATTGAATTTAATTGTTCAAGGTTTATGGCTGAAAAGCATTCTAGTTTACTATCTAGTGTAATATTAGAGCTTACATTTCCGGGAGCTGTTGATAACACTATACTGGTCAAAAGCAAGAGGTCATTGATTTTGTTTCTAAGAGTAACAATTTTATCATTAAAAAAGCACATAAAATCATTGCTACTGAGTGCTATGGGAATAGAAGGCTCAATAGAGCTGTGGCTCTCTGTCAGCCTGGCTACAGTGCTGAAAATAAATCTTGCATTATTCTTATTCTCATCTATTAATGAAGAGTAGTAGGCTGCTCTCGCTTTACGCAGTGCTTTCTTATATTCATTGAGAGTAATATGCCAAATTAAACGAGATTCTTCAAGTTTAGTGGAACGCCATATTCAAGTTGTCTCGACTTTTGCTTTATTTTGCGGGTTTCGGCATGATGCCATGGAGCTAGTCTATGTTGTTTTCTTTTTTTCTTTTTTATAGGAGCAACAGAGTCCAATTTTATTCGCAGCGCATCTGTAGCACTATCAACAACATGATCAATTTGGGTTGGTGTACATTTTGTATAAGTTTCCTCCCCTACATGCAGACATGCTATCGATTTAAGTATTGATGGAATCTCTTCCTTAAATGTGGCTATAGCACTAACAGATAGGTTTCTGCTGCAGGAGCTTTTGACTAATGCTTTGTAGTCTAGTAACAGTACTTCAAAAGTTACAGAAAGTTACCAAAAGTTACTACTGCTAATACTACTACTAATACAATTATAATTAAACATGATATCAATTATAAAATAATAATTCATATATTATTCTACTATTATATTATAACGTATTATGATCTAATATAGTGTCAGGTTGTTTCTAAAATTATTACAATGGAGCTTAATTTGACCTATTGTTATTATCTTTGAACATTTTTACATCACATTACATTTGATTTATTTTGTATATTTTTTACTGAATATATTTATACGATCAACATTTTTCCTTTAATTCAGTGTTGAACATAGGGTGACCAGGTGTCCCGCTTTGTGCCGCTTTTTGTCATTTGTCCCGCGTCCCACACATTGAGACTATGTCCCGCATTTGAGTGACAGTCGCGCAGAAAGGCCGGTTCACTGACGGTCTTTTATTTTTTAAACGGCATCATAAAGCCCCCTTCCTGAACGTTGACAGTTCAGGAGCGTCCATCTCTCCAGAAGTGACAAAAGCTTGAGATACATTTACATTTTATAAAACAAAATTACATTAGCAAAACACTTTTATCAAAGAAAAAACAATTTAACATTAACAAAAACAAATGAACAAAATGCGAAACACTTTTACAAAGCTAGAGACACATTTACATTTTATAAAACAAAATTACATTTTATAAAACAAAATTACATTTTATAAAAACAAAATTACATTTTCTAAAAACAAAATTACATTAGCTAAAACACTTTTACGAGAACTGAGTCAAAAGTACAAGTCTGTGAAAACAAATGCCGGTGTCGGACATAAACAAACACACCGAACACAGTGGGCCAATTACGGGAAGCACACTCTCTCCCTCTCTCTCTCACACACACACACACACACACACACACACACACACACACACACACACACACACACACACACACACACACACACACACACACACACACACACACACACACACACACACACACACACACACACACACACACACACACACACAACGCACGCACACACGCACACACACACACACACACACATCATACACCTTGGTGACCAGACATCTCCTTCATAAAACGAGTAATATAGGGGGAATAATCGGGCAGTTCAATCATGTGTAGAGGTGTGTGTGTGTGTGTGCGTGTAGAGGTGTGTGTGGTTAAAACAAAGCAGCCTGCAGTCGCTCTTTAGCTGTTCTACTTAAGGTAAACACAGCGAAGGCGATGCGTAATAAGGCACAGCTCCACTTCCTACTTGGAGAACCGGTAACTATCTTGTGCGCACGAGAACGTATCTCGTGCGCACGAGAAAGTATATCGTGATGAGCAAAACCGTTTCACTTGGCCCAGGTGGTTTCCACAGAACGGACAAAACATATTTAACGACCATAAACACACTCGTACCGTCCATAGGTACCCGGCGGTCTATCCGCCAAAACAAACTTAAAGGTCCCATGTCATGCTTTTCCGGTTATTACCCGTCCCCTTGTGTGACAGTTTTTATGCATGTAAACGGTCTGCAGAGTCACAAACCCTCAAAGTACACCCTGTAGCGAGTAAAACTCTAACACAGAAAATACCTGTCTATGCTGCCTCAGAACGCCTCGTTGGAGATTTCTCTTTTTCTTCCTGGGTACAGTGACGTGCCCATACCCAAATGGACCCATTGGTCCAAATGGACCAATCCGTAGAGCCGTTACGTTACGCCCGCGGAGCCGTTACAGTTGGACCAATATGCGGACTTCCTCACAAACACACACTCAATCTTTTCTCAGCTGCAGCTCTGCCGATTTCTCCTCCCTGAGATGGCGGGACGCGGCGAGGCTGTGAGTTTGTGTGTGAACACACACACAAACTCCCAGCCAGGCTGCGGGTGTGTGTTCGGGCTGGTTTAGCTTTGTCTCGCTGTCTCGCTGTCTCGCAGACGACCACTGGGCTCATAGGGAGGGGGGGGGGCAGGAGCTCCAACAAGCCGTTTAGGACAGAGAGTGAATACACATACTATACAGAGATGCTGTATGAGAAACCAATGCGATTTTGGAAAATTGCACAGTATAAATCTATTTGAGTAGACCTCAACAATGGAATTATGATCAGTAGAAATGGCCATGACATGGGACCTTTAAGTTTGTGTCAATCGCTTGCACGTCACTTCTGGTATGATGGACCTTCCCCTTCCGGTTTGATTCTCTAGTGTTTCGGCAAATGTTAAAGTGTTTCGGGACTTGTGAATTTGTCTCAGTTCTCGTAAAAGTGTTTTAGCAAATGTAATTTTGTTTTATAAAATGTAATTTCGTTTTATAAAATGTAAATGTGTCTAGCTTTGTGTTTCGCAGTTTGTTAATTTGTTTTTGCTAATGTTTTTTCTTTGGTAAAAGTTTTTTGCTAATGTAATTTAGTTTTATACAATGTACATGCACCACTCACTGTTGCATCTTGATATAATGTTTTCAGATGTTATTCACAGCCATTCCTGCAGAACAGATTGTTACTCTACATAATTTACATTTTGCTACCTTAGCTTGAATGCACAAAATGTGACTTTGAATTCATTAGCTGAACAAATCAAAAATAAATCCTGTATGAGGTTTTGACAGGGACTATCAATGATTTCCTTTTCCTGATGAGTAATATGTCTAGTAATTTAAAGTCATAGCTTGACCTTAAAGCCAAACTTTGTTGTACTTTTACCGTTTCTCATTGACTACACTGCAGACAGATGTATCAAATGTTGTTGTTTCCATCGATGTGGAGACAACCTTATAAATCACCTGATAACACGCACACTCATCTGAAGAGCATTAGGTGCCTTTCAGTTTGACAAAAAGCCTCCTTGAACAGCCCAAACCTCTTGACTTGTTTTGATCTTTTTTATTTTTAGAAACAAGCCTTAACGAAAACAAGTAATACATTAATCAGAATCAGAAATCCTTTATTAATCCCATAGTAGGGAAATGTAAGGTTGTTAAAGCGAGAAGTGGCATAGCAGATATAAAAAGACATCCAATAATAAAAAATACAATTTAGAGAAGAGAAGCACACATTAATAATACAAATAAAAGTTAAAAACAAATAATTAGGTTAGTACACATCCATGGCTAAAAATGATGAGCAGCAACTTAAGAACTTATTGACAGATGTAATGTTGGGTGTCGAAACTTTTTTGGGACATTCATTACAATTAAGGTTTGTCACATAAAGGTGATAATTGATTATTGATCAAACTCAAACTGTAATTTTCGTGACACCGCCTGTTCTCTCAAATACCTTTCATTAAAGGTGCAGCGTTTTAAACTCATATTTGTTCTTCATAAGGCAGAGGGGAATTGTTGGGCTTTGCATCTGAAAACGAGAGATCTGCAATGTGAAAAGATTCTTCCTGAGGCCATCAGGGCTGACCTCTGACCCTTGGCCTCGTCTGACACTTGTGATGTCCGTAGATATTTTTTTTTAGATAATTTTTTTAAGGTGGTATGGCGCTAAAACATTAAATATCTCAACAGTTATCAGACTGATTGCCAATGAATCTCTTGGAGATATCCATTTATATATTTAATGACTTTTAATGTTAATATAGCGCCATCATCTAACCAACATTTTAATTTGATGATTTTCTTTCTATCCTTACATTTCTATCAAATCCTAATTTGTCTTGTAAGTCTTTGTGGCACAGTTTTTTTATTATATAGAGAACAAAAAAGCCATCTTTGTAAAGAGCATTGTAGAGAAGAGAAAACAAGACATTAACACACTTTAATCAAATAGACAATAACAGTTTACAATAAAGACAGAAGATGATAACATAAAAACAAAATCCTTTCTGAAAGAAAATATAAAGCGTAACAAAAATAATGAGTAGAAAAGTCAGAACAGTAAAAGGAAAAAGATAGATTAAAGCAGGGACAATGGAGCAGTTGACAAATAAACATTTTAATCTTATTTTTCACACATATTTTACTTTTTGCCATCATTTTGATGTTGGGCCAATGTGCGAAATGCGACTTATACACCGAAAGCAGCATGGTAAGAAGCCTTCAGAAAACTTAAATATGCTTATTTCGAACAGTAAGAATAAAAATAGAAATCTTTAGAGAAATAAAATATTGAGGAGACGGGAAACCATTAAAGCGCGGCACAAGAAAGAAGCTGTTTCAACTCAACATTTGCAAAGTATTTACCACACTGTGACGTGTTTGATTCATCCGACAGTCATAATTAACAGAAATGTCAGTCATTCAACCCAAAGTGACATAGAAACCAATAGTGACATCTTTCCAGCAGCTGTGTACCTGAGACATGAGCGATGACACGTTTGAGCAGCCCATCACACAGAAACATGTCCGACATAAAGCATCAGAGCTCTGGACAGCCGCTGATTGCTGCTGCAGAGTAAACATTTGTTAGGCCTCTCTGTACAAGCACAGATAGTCCCCGGCTCAATTGACAGGGGCCCCTAAATTGTGTCTGTGACGCCTGATCCATCGCGTCAAAACCATTAAGAAGGACACTGGGTGTGATGATAATGTATCGATCAGGTTGTGATGGATGGCCACTGAGGATATATAAGTGAAGTTCTCTACCGAGCAGAGTTATAATCCAGATCTGACCATCTAGAGATATAGGCACCATGATTTCTGTCGCTGTGTTTTACCTCTTGGCTGTGATTTGTTCTGCAAGACGGACACATGCTCTACCTCTCTACCCCGACACCGACCTGGAGCCACAGGCAGGTAAGACTCTTCTGATATTGTTGCATTTATTTTAAAATGCTGCACTCTTAAGGGCAATTTGACTATTTTAAATTGGACACTTTGCACGTCTGCTTTACTGCATTTATGTGAGAAATGTATCTGAATGATGATACACAATTGATCTAATCTCAAGCAAACTCTGTTCATATTATTCCTAATTTTCCTTTGAGGTTATTATCTTATCTTTTTCTCAAATATTTGTATTCTTACATGCTCTTTAAGATATGGTTTTGAACATTTGACAAGTTATTCTGTTCAACTCACCGCAGGGATATTCATCTGATAATGACAGGCTGAAGTAAAAGCACATTTTCTTTTTAAATTTCAACAGATTTCATTCAGAAATTAGTGTCAGAGGTGGATGATGGACCCAACACGGCTGAGGGGGAGCAGAGAGAGGTGAATAATCTGTATCCTCTACTGATGCAGCACAATGGAGGAAGGGAGTCTTGGAATAAAGGTACAAATAATACAAATATCTTGCAGATAAATGGTCACCAAATGGTTATAATATAAGATAATGATTGCACTTCTATTTTTATGTTTTGAAGGTGCTAAAGATTCAATACAACAAGACAAGTTTGCAAACATGGTAAGGCTGATAATCTACTTCTCTATACACTATCTTTAAGAAAGTATTTATATGTTATATGTATATATACACTGTATATGTTTATAGCAATTCAAAGAAGTTAAAAGTGAAATTGCGCAGAAGAAAAAGTAGTCACTGAGGCAACAAGATGAATTAAATCTGAAGGCTGTTTTGTGGGGCTGAAAATAAATTCTGATTATTTTTATAAATCTATAAAGAGAAAGTATTTCAGAATCTGAGATTGAGCTAATTTATGCAGGAACTAAGCCACACATTTATTTAAGAGTAATCCTTAAAATAAATATGAATAACTGTGAACAGGTTAAAATAAATGTGATCACTTAGTTACAGCTCTGGCTTTAGATCAGAGTTCACCATGTTATCTGCGTGTGCTTTCTTCATGTTTTCTGTGTTGTTTTTAGGTGGAGGACCTCAGAGAAGCCGTCTTGAAGCTGGCGGCGGCCGACAAGCTTCGCTCTCAGGGTTTTCTCAGATCAGAGCAGAACTTGCCAAAAACAAACAAAAGAAGTGAGTGACTCTTATTATCTTCCATCAATCACTCAACACGCCTGCCCTTTATTTGCAGTCTTTGACAAAGGCTTATAGCATGTATAACCATTATAACTTTTATTTGTATTGGGCTTTTCTAAAATCAATGTTGACATACAATGAAACCCAAAAAGCAAACAGCATTGACAAGATTTGATTTATACTTTTTCTTAAACATCTATTTCCTTAGACCCTTAGATTCAGAAAAGGAAACAACTTATAGTATATAAGTAGAATATAGTATATAGTAAAGTAGAATATAATATCAATTTAAACAAATGATGATGACAAAAGTATTTGGATAATATTTAAACTAAAATGTAATCTAATAACTGGACGATGAACAGTGGTAATGATTTAAAGTAGTTTATTTATTATATTTTAGTCTATTTACTTTTGAAAAATATTTTCTTATCTTTATTTAACTATTTTACTCTGTCATGCATTAAGAGATTGTTTTGTTCGGTGGATAATGTGGTTTTGTGATGATGAAAAATGAACATTTTCACAGTGTTGGCAATTTAGAGTTAGGTTAATCTCACATGTGACCTCTGTGTCTGACCCTCTCTGATCCCCTGACAGCATGTTTCTGGAAATACTGTGTCACCAACTAAAGCCTGGACGCTGCAGGACGTTTGCTGTGATTTCTTCACGGCCTGGTCGGCCACGCCTTTCCTCTCCATCGTCATTTTTGTTTCCTACCAACCAGTTAATTCACCATCTACACCAAACGATCAAAAGTTATATTTTTGAAGTTGTAAAATTGTCTTTTTTGTGGCTGAAAATAAAGTTGAATCTCAGAAATGCCATTATTGAAACCTGTTTTGTTTGCGATATTTCAAGGTAAAGATGTTTCTTTTATCTATAGTACCTAAAGAAAAGAGCATTATATTATTAGTAGTCAGCACACAAAAAAACAAGATTATGACAAATCATTTTGATATTTATTATTAGTGTGACAGTGATAATCACATCAGATACAGAAGTGTATTTCATGGTTTGCATTAAAATAACTGTATGTGGAGGTTTCTGCAGCTGCTGCTCACAGTAACACAATCATGTATGTTTTAAAGAGGGTGATTGATCAAAAAAGTGTTGAAAAATATCTATTTACACTATAAACAATAACAATAATTGCACATTTGGCCTTTTCAATATGGCTTAAAGATCTGTCTGAGTGACTATGGATGTGGATACATACAACCAATAAAACGTTTTACTTCAGCGTGTCCTAGAATCTTACTGGAACAAAAATACAGATTTAAGGAGGAATAGTGTCTGTTTTGTGGCCACATATTAATTTGTAGGTTGTAGCGCCCTCTACAGATCACAACACAGTTATACTGAGTGAACACTTAATTACAAAGAATCCAAGGTTTTATTTCCTCTTGTTGGCCACGCTGAAGTAAGCCTTCTCGATTTCAATGTCGGCTGGACACGTCTGTTTGAACTCTTCTCTCTCGCTGGCGTTTCGAAGGTATCTCCACACGCCTGTGAACTCTGCGGGGATGTCAAAGTCGCAGTACTTCTTGGAAGCAACCTGAAATACAAAGAAAGGAAAATCTTAATTATAAAGAATACTATGTTTATAAATATCAGAAAGTACTCATGTAAAATTACCATGTTAAACAGTTTAGTATACTTTAATATAGTACAATGCACCATTTTTATGGTCATTAAGTAACTATAACTTTCATAATAATGTAGTGGATTTAAAATATAGATAATATTTCTCTTTATCGCTGTGGAGTACCTTTAATAAAATAAATGCAGCAAAAGTACTTGGCATTGATTTAACATGATTCGGGGACATAATGACACATTAATGGAAAAATATGAATACATCTGAATGGTTGTGAGATGATTGATCAGAGAGGAAAGAAGAAAATAAAACAGCTCTGATACACACATTGGTATTATTGGTTTAGCTTTTCCTGTGAAATGTTCGATCGTTTAACCTCTTTGGTTTGCAGACAGTTTGGATGGGAAATGTCTCTTTTGTGAAACTAATTAACATCATAAATGGTGACAAGGAAGCCACAACCACACACATTGTTTTGTAAGGAGTCACAAGCCCGGTAGTAAAATATTGATTTGATCTCTAATAATGCATACTTTTATACAACCTTAACATACCTTTTTTTCTTAATGTAAAATCTCATAATACAAATGAACATGCATAGATAAATGTATTGTATAGTAAAAAGTACAATATACAACCTCTGTCAAGTATCAAGTCAGTTCCTCAGAATTGTAGCAGTGAGTACACGTTTTCATAGAGCGAGTTTTGTCTAGTGCAGTCAAATAATGATTCCACCTAGCAGCGACCTCTTTGAGTCAATATAGGATTCAGAACTACAATTCTCAAGACACCCCCCATCCAATGAAGAGGCACAGATGTAGACAATTTGCCTCAACGTTTAACGCCAAACGTTTAACTTGACTCTTAAGAAGGCCTATTTTATTTGTAAAATTAAATAACTTGAATAACTTCAAAGATTACTCATTGAAAATGTCTGTATATGAGACCTCTGAAGTGGAGAAAGCACACGTACTTATATATTTTGCACCACTGCCTTTAGACTAAACTATAGTTACTAGAGATGACCCTAAAATGGAAACCCATTAGATGCGAAGTCTCACCCTGATGACGTGCAGTTTGGGCAGCAGGTTGCAGTCGGCTAAGGTGAGGCGATCCCCGTCCAGAAACTTCCTCTTGGAGACGGCGACGGACTCTCTGGAGTTGTGGTCGATCTCCTCGGGCAGCGGGGAGTTCAGGTAGTTGTCCAGACGCTTGAACTCCCGCAGCAGGTTTTTCTCGTAGACTGGAGGGTCAGAAACACAGAGATTATGTTTTCTGTAATGGTATGTGGTGTAATGTAATTGCAAGTACAATTACTCAAGTACAGTGCACGAGTGCTTCCATTTTATGGCACGTTATTCATTGACTCCATTACATTTCAAAGGGAAAATATTGTACTTTTTTTTACTTCTATCTGACTTTTATTGATCTTTTCTAGTTACTTTTTACGTTATAAATGACCATACAAAATCTATAGGTTTATAAAATGCAATAGATTTGAAGAGGTTAAATTAACTAAACAAATATAACTGCTATATATCAAACAACTAGACTGCCCACACATCAAAGTATCACAAATACAATTCCAATAATATAATAATATACATGTGTAACAACATAAGGACCAAGTAGTTAAGTAATTGGTTGATGCTAATAATTACTATTTAATACACTGTTGGCTGTTCTAGTCTATTATGGAATATTACCATATTTTAGAGGCTTATCACATGTTTTGTAGATAGAATTAAAATCCCATTAGTCCTGTGATAACATATTAAACATGTATTTGATCTATTTTCCTAAAATAAATACAAATAAAATCAATAAATAACAACATCACAATAAAACCAAGTCTCTAATAATGGGTTTTAAAAAAGGTTATGGATTCTGCTAGGCTTATCTGAGGATATGTACACATATTATTTGAATTTAAATGAATGAATGTCCGACTTACAGGTGTTATTAGGACTGTTCTTGATGAAAGCAGAGAACTTTGCAAAAATATCAGCGCCCACATCAAAAGACTCTCTGTTTAGTGGGCTGAGATGAGGATACCTGCGGGGGAGGTGAGAAAGGGAGTGAACGTGTTTGATGAGAATACGCCATCGTCACAATCACACCTGATTAATATTTGCTTAGTGATTAAGCGGCAACAATACCTGGGAGGTGCCACTGTTAGTTCAAGAAACTCCTCGATTTTGATGAAGTCTGTTTTGAGGGTGCCGTTGTAGAGGAGGAAAGGAGGGTTGGTGCCGGGGGCCAAGTCTTTGAGCTCAGCGGGCTTCCTGCAGAGAGGACACAGAAATGTGGAATAAGCATCATATAGTAAGGAGTCGAAAGGGAATTATTTATCTCAAATGTAATTTTGAAAGAATTATGCAATATTGGTTACATTTGAAAAGTAGGATGAAAGAGAACGGCAGAAAGAGGAATACATTTTTCAGAAAAATACAGAAAAACTGAATATTGAAAGGTTCTGCAACAGAGTAGAAAAAATGCATTACAAGTGGTACAGTATCTGCTCTCCTTTTTTTGTTGCTTGTCTTTTGTTTCTCTTTTGTTTTGAGATCCAGACAAAAGGAAAGTAAAATACGTGGGTCCTGTCATGAATACATGCTGTAGCAAAAGGTATAATTTGCAAGTTGAAGATATCAAGAATAAAATAAGAGATATGGACGATGTGTTTTAGATAAAGCCCGTTTTACCCCCTTAAGTTTGCCATTTATATTGCAGATTTTATTTGTCATGCATCAGCTTAAACCTCTATAAGGGAAAAGGTATTTGAAAAATGAAGAGGAAGTAGGGCAGGGAGATGTCTTTCTTATAGATGTATTCAGTACATGTATTTAATCTTACTGTTATCAAGCAAGTCAAAACTGAGAGCGTGTTGTTATCGAGGCTGTCAGAACCAAATGTGGTTCAGTAGATTAATGTGTTTAACATTGGCTGTGTGTTTAGTTATAAAAACACACTGTGCTGGGAGTGGTCGGCTGTGTACGTGTGTATGTGTGTGTGTGTGTGTGTTATGAATCATTCAATTATCAGCTTCCTTTCAAAGTTTCCTGATCTTATTTGCTCACCGGTAATGACGCTGAGAAATTCACACAATAAAGCCTCAATTAAAGAAGGTGTTTGTTTGACAGCGACACAGAGCTCTTTGTACATGGAGCTATACGGCTCCTCCCTCTGACCTCTGTGAGACAGAGGGAGAAACACACCTATTGATAAGTGAGAAATTATTTGGATTACTCTCAAGTTCTCTCTCTCATTTGCTTCTTAAAAGAGTCCTGTGTAAAAGTCCCCAAGACCAGATGCTCAGGAAGTGTTTCTGATGGAGGGGGGGCTTACTTCCTCATGTCAACAGTGGTCACTGTAAACTTCACTCCTTTCAGCCACAGCTCCATGAAGAGCCTCTGACAGAAGGGGCAGTTCCCCACGTTCTCCCCATCATGCCCAGCCTGAAAAACACAAACAAGTAAATGTTAAGTATATGACTACATGAGCCATAAATGTCCTGTTATAGCCAGTGAAGTGTTATAGCAAATCACAATATATTTTCTCCTCTGATCCGCTAATAAACACATCTAAGTGAAAGAAAGGCGTGTCCAGGCGGTTTCCTCCATCGAGGGAAAAGCAGGCATTGTGTTGTGGCGGAAAACAACTATTAGCTCTGCTCCCTCTTGATGTCAAAGGAAAAGTTTGACATTTTGAAAAATTATATGCTTTCTTTCCTGAAGTTGGATGGGAAGTTTGATACCACTTTCTCAGCCTATTCGGTAAACATGAGTACAGTCAGTAGCTTGTTGGCCTAGCAAAGCTTAGCATTAAGACTACAAGGAAAAAGAAACAGCTAGCCTGAAGAGTAAAAATAAGGTTTATGTGCTCTACTATTTCTTGTGTGTGTTTATAATCCTCCTACTTTTTGATACAGACTAAACAAATGTGATAAAGCGTGTTTCTTGGCTTTTGTTTCCTGTATTTGCACCAATGCAAATTCCTTGAGCGTGAAAACCTAAGACTGATGTCACTCTCAGCAGAAATCCTAAATGTCAACTGTTGAATTGTTCAACCCTTACCCATAAGAGACATAATGTACTGTCTACTACAGCATATTGTACTTTCTTCAATTGTTCTGAGTCTCACTTGACCTTGTTTTATATCTGTCTCTGCACAGATGCCTTTAACAAAAACAGGTTTGTGTACCAGTAGAATGAAAAGTTCC